AATTTGAGTTGAATTACTGAAATAAACTTTTCCACGACATTCTAATTTATTGAGATGCACCTGTAAGTTGTCCATAGTACTTGTGCATTAGAATCCAAATCTTTCAAAGTTATATGATAGCTGTGTGGGGAACAGACTGCTAAAAACTTCCCCTGGCCTTCTGTATTCAGTTTGAATATAACACGTCAAAACATGTTGTGCCAAGTTCCCCTTCAGGAACTCGAGCTGCGTCGAAACGTTATGGGAACGACTTCAGCGTGACCACGCTCTGAATCACATGTGTAATCAGTCCAATGGATGGGCAAGACGTCACGGGCGGGGTGACGTAAAGACCAGGAAGCTTAAAAGCACGTGCGGTGGATACAGCGGCAGCTTCTGTCAGGAGTTGACTGCCTGCATTGCGAGCGTTTGTTTCTGCCTTGCTTTGCTCTCAGAAGGCTCTCTTTGAGGATGGAACCTTCACTAGCATTTCTCGCGGTGCCGGACCCGCTTTCGCCGGGGTGGAGCGGCGGCTGTGCTCGTGGGGTTCGCATTTGGATCTGGAGGAGGGAATGTAGACGGGCGAGTCCCTATCTTCTTCCTCACCCACCAGATCCAGAGCCCGCACTCGGGGTTCGGAACCTGCGCTGCGGTTCTTCCCACGGGGGAGAGGGCTCGACGCTCTGCCTGTCTTCCTCCGAGGAGGTTGATATGGAGGGCGTCGATGAGCTCGCCAGTTGCACAAGCATCAGTTACACAAGCATATTATGCCTAATATTATAATGAGCAGCATTAATGGGGAGCGGAGCTCGCGCAGTCAGCTCTCGGGGGGGCTGATTGTGCCTTTCCCGCTGTTAAGCGCTCCGCCCTCGCTGGGCACGCTCCAAAGGAGTGTTTCCGTGCCTGTGATCTTGCGGTTCCGGTCCCACTCCTGCTGAGACACGGCAGCGATTGAGTTAGCGGGGATCGCACATGATCTGGCGGATGGGTTGGAGACGGGCTCTGAGGAATTAAATGAAGTATTTATCTGACTATGAGAAGTTAGATATACAGGGGCTCTTGGGATAAAAATTTCTCGAGTGACAGCATTTGTCACAATCGATCTAAAAGACACATACTTCTATATCTCCATCCTTCCTCATCACAGGAAGTTCCTGAGGTTTGCTTTGGGGGCAAAGCTTACCAATATCGGGTTCTTCCTTTTGGCCTTGCACTCTCAACCCCACACTTTCACCAAGTGTGTGGATGCTGCTCTGGCTCCTCTGTGACTCCAGGGCATCTGCATACTCAACTACATAGACGATTGGTTGATACTAGATCAATCAGGGCAGATAGCGATTCGGCATCAAGATGTCGTTCTCGCTCACATGAAAGAGTTGGGGTTAAGACTAAACGCAAAGAAAAGTGTGCTTTCTACAGTGAATCTTACTCACCAGACCGTGAGTAAATGAAGTATTTATCTGACTATGAGAAGTTAGATATACAGGGGCTCTTGGGATAAAAATTTCTCGAGTGACAGCACATGTTTACCTCTCTTCCTCCGAGGACGTTGAGGTGGTCAGCAGGGGCTGCTGGGCGGGAGCAGTCCCAACCTACCGTGTTCCAGCTCCTCATTCTGGGGGCGTCACTTCTCGTACTCAGCAGAGTCTAGAGTCACAGTGGCGCTCCCAGGCCGAAGGCTTATAGCGGAAGGCGGTTCTGCGGACCCTCATTCTCGCTGGATAGTCTCCGTCTAAAACATCCTGATGCCTAAGGCCT